ATTTGGTTCAGCACCAAATCCCTTCCAGTTTGGCGGCCAGCAGAGTCAGGCTGTTCCCCAGAATCCATCTCCATTTGCAGCATCGAGCAGTCTAGTCCAGGCAGCACCTCAGAATTCTTCTCCATTTGCAGCATCAAACAGTCTAGAATTTGGCGGTGGAGGGAGCTTCTCGTTGGGTAGCAGTGGTCCTGACAAATCAGGTCGGAAGATTGTGAAAGTTAATAGAAGCAAACACAGAAGAAAATGAGAAAACTAAGCAAAGATCTTCGATTTGTTGATAGATAGTGGCAAGAGAACGACTAGCACAGCGATCAAAGGTCACAATTTTGTTTACAGTTTTTACAAGACTATGAATGATTGTATTGTATTTGTAGGGGAGATGAAGGGTGTAGTTCACCATATTGTTTAGTCAACTTTGCTTTCTGTACTACTTCTGCATGTATAATAATAGGAGGGGAAATGCTTGCGTCTCTAAATATATCTTTTGATGAATCTACAGGTAAATTGATCAAGACTTGAGATTAATAATAGAGAAAAAGTTTTACATTGTGAGGTAGTATGTATTATCATATGCTAATACCTAACCAATTAATATTTAAATAAAAATCACTCCATAATCGATTCAAGGGAAGCACCTTTTCTTGAAATTACACAAACTTATAATCAAAGATGGCCTACAAAAGTATTGGGATATCTTTGGTGTGACATTGCTTTACCCTCCAAATTAATTCATATATTCCTGCAGTACTGTAATGCCAAAATTATAGTTGGGCAAGCCATTCAATAATAGTAAGAACATATTCACGGAAATCTCACTAAGTGGGATTTGGGGAAGACATAGTATATACAGACCTCATGGAATTCCTAAAGGCCTTCGGCATAGTTATGAAGAAAGCATACTAATTAAATAAGAAAAACAATTTAGAGTCAACAAAAGAAGCAATAACAATACATATGGCAAAAACAATAAAATCAAACCCAAGTAAAAAAAAGAAAGCAATGAAGAAAGTATAACAATTCAATAAGAAAAATAGTGTACAATCGACAAAAGAAGCAATAGCAACACATATAGCAATAGACAACAAAATAAAGAATCGCATGTTACAACTAGTACTACAACAAACACTAGTAAACCTAAACTCGTACAGGGCAAGACTACATTCTACCCTTACTAACCTCCTACCCTAATACACGACCTCCACTCTTTTCTATCTAGAATCGTGTTCTCGATAATACGAAGTTATTATGTCCTATTTTAATCATTTGTTACCAATATTTTTTCAACCTACCTCTACCCCGCCCTGCCCTGTCCTATTAGATTTTAAAAGGCTTTGATCCATCTTATCCGACCCTGACCCGTTTAAATATTACCCTGCCCCGACCCGTTAAACCTTACCCCACCCTACCGTTACCCCATTGCCATCCCTAACTTAAAAAAAGCACTAAAAAGAAGTAACAGAGAACTGTTTATTGAGAGCGTGGGAAAAATGCTACGGAAGGCTCTAGCATTCGCCGGAAGCGCACTGCAGCAACAACATCAGCCATGGCACACAATTGTCATGTTCTAAGACGAACACATGGAAATGAGGAAATCAGTATCTCTGTCATGCGGTTGGCCAACATTATTGCTGTTGGTATTGGAGATGAAGAGGAGGATGGTATTAATCAGCTTTTTCTACACGTTGCCATTTCAAAGCCAGGACAGAAGGAATCTTTGCATTTTCTTTGTGGGCTATATTTCCAGATGCTTTGGGAATACACTCAGTCACATTGAGATCAAAGACTGAGTCTAGTGGGTTTCTTGCTGTTCCAACCAATTACGGTGGGCCAATTTTTCAGTAAGTCTTTCTCTGATGTGCCAACATGTTTGACTGTCTGCTATATTTCGACCCTTGAGACATCATGTTCCTCTGTATGAAAGACAATTGTATTTGGATGTTTGGCTTTATGCCGTGTTTCTACCCATTCTTATACCATGACCTAGTTGTTTATTTTTTACTTCTGTGTAAAATACGATTGGATTTGGACGGTAGTCAGAGTTTAAGCTCCATGGTTTAGTGAGACATCACTTGATACAAAAGCGAGTAGCATTTAATTTGAGTTCGATAGTTGATAGTATATAAAAAAACTAAGCGCACAACGGAAAAAATTTAATGGCACATTTTATTTGGTAGGCACGGAGATTGACTTGCTATGCATCTGGAGGGAAACTTTACAATAGATAACTTTTGATTTATGTTTGCTTGTCATGTTTCCGCTGATAAACCATCTAGCCTCACCCATGTATTCATTTATTTAGGTAAATAGTTTCCCTTTCCTTTTAAACTGCCTGAATTGACCTACAGGTTATGAAGAACATACATATTCTGAAACTAGGACCGTTAAATATTCCTCAAAATTCCACCCTATATTATTAACTAAATCAAACTAATTTTACCGTTGTCTCCAAAACTTTTTTTAATAATATATAGTATAATACCTAGGTCATCACCAAAAAGTATGGTCTACATTTTGATTTTTTTTTAAAAAATAATACAAGAATGATGTAAAATTTGGCATGAGATATGTCATAATTTGTTATTTGAAATTGTCAGGAAAAAATAAAACACAATGATAGATTCTATTAATCTTCTCTTAATTTGGATGTGTTGAGAAGCAAACAAATAATCCATGTTTTGTTTGTTCATGCTTCTTTGACTTTAGACAAAATTATTTTGTAACACATAATATGCATTGTCCCCCCCCCCCCTACCCCCATCCTACCCATCTTTATTTAAATTCATGTTTTTTTTTTGTATGTTGTTCATGTTTTAATGATGTTTATTAATAGTGGCGAGGAGGGTCGATATTTAAAATTTTAATATGTTATAATTACTAAATTTTAAATTTATATAAATACAATAGAGTATAGACTTTTATGAACAAAATGTATTGATTATGTATATTTTGTCTATGTTGATAAATTAATTGGTCAAAGAATAATACTTATTTTATGTGTGGAATATATGTGCAAATTGCAATATAAATATACATGTATTGAGAATTTTTTGTAGTAGTTATTTACAAAATAACAATCTCTTTAGATTTTACAAAAATACGTGGATGGATAATATATATTAGTAAAAAAAATTTCTTGATGTGATATTTTTCAAGTATATAAAATAGAAAGTTTGCTTTTAGATGATCATTAATTACCTACTCTCTTTTCTTTTATGCTAAGACTGAAGATAGAGATAAATGTGCACAAATACATAGTTACCTATTATGGTAGTTATTAGTGATTGTAGAGAAAAAAATATTACATCAAAAGATTACCATAATGTAATTTATATATTTCCACCTTTACTTTATGATTCCTGCGGATTATACTTTTGTATGACCACCGAGTAAACTCGCTTCTGTATAATAGCTCGTAAATTATATAAATAATGTAATCATGTAAATTGCACTAGGCAAGTCTGATACGATACGTTTGATTGAAAAAGCATTTGCATGGAAATATATCGATCCTTGACATCTTTTATGAAATAGATAACACTCGCTATATCAACTCAATTAATTTCATAGATACCACCATTTAATTATTATATGTATATTTTTTTTGTTAAATATAGTAATTACTAATTGATAAAAGAACAAATAAAAATTCACTGATAATGCATTAAATGTTTACATCGTTTTCTCATTTTAGGCAAAAGTCAATTTCACATTGTCTCACGAATATTGCTTTTGTTTTTTTTCTTTTATTTATTTATTAATTTAAAGTAATACTACGAAGTATGATAAAGTCCAGTGTTATACCTGAAATTTATTTGGACATTTAAAAAATAATAAAGGTGGAGCTAGAGTTTTAAATTTTAAAAATATAATTTATAAGGCTCTGAATAAACTATTTATCCATATAATGTAAATTTTTAAACAAAATATACTATTTGAAATTATATTGTTAAAATATACTATTTTCAAATTATATTGTGAATGGGACATGCTCTTGTTTAATCATCGCTATTTCAACGAGGTGAAGCTATAATAATCGGTTATATATATATATATACCAAAATGTGTGAGTATAAATTTAACTACAAATTTAAAACCCACAATTTTTATATTTGTGGTAATTCGCTTCTATATATCAAACTAACATGTTTAATTGATTCGAATTTCTCACCGGATGGGAGCACTAAGGAGTAAAGAGCTTCCTATCAATAAATTATATATTCTCATAATTTAGATCTAAATTTAAACTTTGATTAAACTGCATGGTGAAACTCAACTATCTAATCACACCCCATCGTGGGAAATGTCTTCCATCAATTAATCAAGGGTAATCAATTAACTCAATCCGGATTTCATTTTGTTTTATATTATAAAATAAAGTATTAGTACTGGTTAATCAATCTTATGATTTAGTAGTTAAAAAATGATTACTCCCCTTTGTTTCAGTTTTTTTTGTCATACTCTTCTTTTTAGCTTTTTTGAAAAATATTTTTTTTATAATTCTTTAATTTCAACTTTTTACACAATTTATTTATTATCACAAGATGAAATTTTATTTTAGAATATTCTACCATTTACATAACTTTAATTTAATACTACAAAATTTAAATATTTTTCTAAAATTTTGTTGAACTCCCTATCAAATCAAATCAGCTGCCAAACAAATTGAAATTAAGGTACTATACTACAAGAAGTCGAGAATAAATTCTAATGAAGCAAAGCTATGATAGGTATATTTATTGTCATAATTATTTGTTATTTTGGGAAAGAAACATAAATACCATAGAGATTTATTGTCATAATTATTTGTTATTTGTTACCAATATTTTTTCAAGTTACCTCTACCCCTGCCATGTCCTATTAAATTTTAAAAAGCTTTGATCCGTCCTATCCAACCCTGACCCGTTTAAATATTACCCTGCCTCGACCCGTTAAATCCTTACCCGCCCCACTGTTGCCCCATTGCCATCCCTAACTTTAAAAAAGCACTAAAACAGAGCAACAGAGAACTGTTTATTGAGAGTTTATTGATAGTGTGGGAAAAATGCTACGAAAGGCTCTAGCATTCGCCGGAAGCGCACTGCAGCAACAACATCAGCCATGGCGCACAATAGCCTGTCGGCGGTCGTCGGGTGTTTCATCAGCCGTGAATAGTATAATCCTCCGGTCCCTTAAAGATCACTATCTTGAAGTCTCCAAAATGACCCCTCCTCCGGTAACCCCTTTCTCTTCTCTAACCTTACTACCCAAAGTTCATATGGGTGTGCTTATTTAGCTGAAATTCGATTAAAGTCTTAATCTTTTTTGTGTGTATGAGGGTTTACTAAATGGTTTCATAAAAATATGATTTTAGCTGTGTATAGATAGTGTAATTTTCTGCTGAAGGGGATCCTACCTGGCTCCGCCCCTGGGTGAACTTACCAGAAGCCCAAATAGTGGCTCTTTCCAATTTGCTACATTGTGTAACTCGAACACTCAACGTTAGGATTGAAGGTTGATTGAAGGTGGAGGGTTCTTTACCATATGGATATTCTTTTTCTATGGAGATTGTATTGAGAGATTTGAGTTAGTTTCGTGTGTTTATGATACAAGAAACTGATTGGTTGCATTGTTGGAGCAGTTGAATATAAGCTATAAAGTTAAAATGGTGTTTAAGAGAGGAAGAGAAAGTGTTGAGGATGATAGCTCAAAGGAGGGTTTAGTGTCTTCGTATTTTTTGTTCTTTTTGCGGGTGGGGTCTCTAGATGCTATAGTAGCTATAGTAATCCTTGAGGGAGTGGAGAAGGTAAAAAACACAATGGTGCAGCAAGGGTTAAAGACACACGGAACTATGGGAAGTGACATTTCACACAATGGAAGTATGTAAAATTGCTCTAGTGAGCTAACATAATACGCATGCTGAGTGAATGCACTTTGGCAATAGTGTTCTCCTTCTGTCAACTAAGTTGCATACACCCAAGTGAAATATATGTGGATAATATAATTAATTGTTTTGAATTATAAGAGCTTGAGGTGGAATAGTCACTCGGTGCAGTGAATATCAAACTAAGCGGCTGAAGAGAGATATATAATAAAGAGCATTTACCATCTAGCCTCAAGCTACTAAAGCGTGATGGTTATACGAGCCTACATGCTTTTGAGAAAACAAATGATAATGGATTGTTTGAAAATTGTCCTACATGAGTTTTTTTCAAACTTTTGTTTGATGTCATAGTAAATATTGGTTTTGATGGCATTGAAGTAAGAGACATGGAAGTCGCGTTAGGTTTAGGGAGCACGGTATGTAAATTGTTCATTTTGAGACTCTTATGCTGGTCTCTATATGTTTGAGTGCTTCTCTAAGAAAAACTTTAATGCATCTAGTTCCTAGACTTATTGCAAAATACCCAAAACAGAAGAACGAAAAGGAACAATCGATGAAACTTGAGGATATTGATTTTGTTACTGTTCAAAGTGATAGCTTCTGCAAATGATGACACCCATCCTATAATGGAAGTCTTGATACTTGAATCTGAAGCAGTATCTTGTCATTTAATATGGAATTTACAAAATTAAAATTAAGATTTATTTAAGCTTCAATGCCTGGAAATGAATTGTTGTTAGTTTTGACAACTCCTGTTTATGTGATTTTTGATTTTCTTTTTGCATCTCTTTGGGCGTTCGGCAGAAAGTTAGCCCTCCTTCTCCATTCACTGTCGTCAAGGGGGCACTTGATCATGGTGGTCCTGTTCTAAGACGAACACATGGAAATGAGGAAATCAGTATCTCTGTCATGCGGTTGGCCAACATTATTGCTGGAGGTATTGGAGATGAAGAGGAGGATGGTATTAATCAGCTACCCTGACCCGTTTAAATATTACCCTGCCCCGACCCGTTAAACCTTACCCCACCCTACCGTTACCCCATTGCCATCCCTAACTTAAAAAAAGCACTAAAAAGAAGTAACAGAGAACTGTTTATTGAGAGCGTGGGAAAAATGCTACGGAAGGCTCTAGCATTCGCCGGAAGCGCACTGCAGCAACAACATCAGCCATGGCACACAATTGTCATGTTCTAAGACGAACACATGGAAATGAGGAAATCAGTATCTCTGTCATGCGGTTGGCCAACATTATTGCTGGAGGTATTGGAGATGAAGAGGAGGATGGTATTAATCAGCTTTTTCTACACGTTGACATTTCAAAGCCAGGACAGAAGGAATCTCTGCATTTTCTTTGTGGGCTATATCCAGATGCTTTGGGAATACACTCAGTCTCATTGAGATCAAAGACCGAGTCTAGTGGGTTTCTTGCTGTTCCAACCAATTACGGTGGGCCAGTTTTTCAGTAAGTCTTTCTCTGATGTGCCAACGTGTTTGACTGTTTGCTATATTTCGACCCTTGAGACATCATGTTCTTCTGTATGAAAGACAATTGCATTTGGATGTTTGGCTTTATGCCGTGTTTCTACCCATTCAGATACCGTGACCTAGTTGTTTATTTATTACTTCGGTGTAAAATACAATTGGATTTGTACGGTAGTTAGAGTTTAAGCTCCATGGTTTAGTGAGACATCACTTGATACAAAAGCGAGTAGCATTTAATTTGAGTCCAATATTTGATAGTATATATAAAAAAATTTAATGGCATATTTTATTTGGTAGGCACAGAGATTGACTTGCTATGCAACTGGAGGGAACCTTTACAATAGATAACTGTTGATTTATGTTTGCTTGTCATGTTTCCGCAAATAGACATCTTGCCTCACCCATGTATTCATTTATTTAGGTAAATAGTTTCCCTTTCCTTTTAAACTGCCTGAATTGACCTACAGGTTATGAAGAACATACATATTCTGAAACTAGGACTGCTAAATATTCCTCAAAGTTTTTCCAATATGAAACAAAAAATGGTCTCTTTTGCCATTTGTCTCTAGCATCACAATGACATGTCAAGTTTGCAAAAGAAATTTGTAGCCTTATGAGCCCATATCTTTCCATCAGGATAATGAGAAAAGTATGGACAAGTACCATGTAGAGATATGTGATGGAACTATACACCATCTATTCATAGCATTTAGATCATGAAAGTGAAATTCAAAAATCTTTTCATCTGGGCACGAGGGCAGAGTTTATTCGCCTAAATTACTTATTTTTCCTTATCTAGACTAGTGTTTTGTTGGATTAAATATTTGGATGAACTATCATAACCTGCTACTGGTAACCCACTGTAGAATTTCAAATTTCTTTCAATTAGTTCTATTCTAGTATTATCACTATTTATGAATATGCTTAAAGCATTTTTGGCTTCATAACAGTGTAGATTTAGAGTATTGGGCATCAAGTGAGTCAAGATTAAACATGTTAATCAGGATAAGGGGTAGGCCATTCAAATTAAATGAATAAATAATGTTCCAGCTAAAACAATACAAGGTTATAAAACAATCAATTACAAGCTATCCATTAGGAGTTGATTGGGATTAGATTATTAGAATGGAAATGGAATGAATGAAACGAGAACATTGAGTAAGATATACTCATAGAAAAAGGACAATGAGTAAGATTATATAGATTGACTTGAACATGCACCATCTTTCTTATCCATTCATCCCTTCTATTCCTATACTTAAATAAATCTGATCCTTAATCTAACTTTGTCAGTATCAACCTAGCTTTCATATAAATTTTATCTCTCTCGTTGGTTCACCCAGGTTACTAATGATGTGATGCCAGAACAAACTTCGTGTTGCACTTCCTAGAACTCTTTATCTTGCCAAGCAAGAAAGAACACAATTTGAGAATGCAATTAATTGACCTCCACATCTTTGCTTGTTTATTTCTCAAAAGTTCTTTTGGGTGAAGATAAATAAGGAAATAGGAACTTAAGGGTTACTTTGCCTTGAAAATATCTCCGAGGCAGAAGCCTGAGCACTGGAGGCTCCTTAATATATGGGTGACCCAAAAAGAAGATAGGCAAAAAGACTATTCTTGGAAAAGTACCTTATCCATAAAAAAAGACTATTCTTCACCAAGTATTAGCTGTCTTAGTCCTGGTACAGAGTTAATATGTCCTAAGTTGATTGGATTTTAACAACCCTGAACTCTAATGCGTCCACTTAGGACTTTGATCTGAGCAAATAGTGAACCATTTTGATGATATGAAAATTCGAGCTGCTTATGAGCTACTGTCGGATACTCAGCTTGCAAAAGTTAACTAGATGAACTGGAAGAAAGCAAGATTTTTTTGGCCAGTGATGAAACAAAAAGTCACTCTTATGTTGTTTTTGGTGTCTCTTCCTTCTGGCTATTCTGGGGGGTTTTCTGGGGCATGTGCCATTCACGGGAGACATGTTCAAATGTAGCTAATTTTACATTTGAGGTCCTTTTTTTAAACTTGTTTACTGGCTGTGTGAGTGTGGGATGCTTTGTGTACCGAGTTACCCTTTGTTTTAATTGGCTGTGATTATTTGAAAGATCAAAGTTATAAGCAGTGCATGATGCTGATATCTTGATCAATTTCTAATTGAGTTAGGGAGAGAATAAGTTGGAGGAAAGAGTTAACTGTGTAAGACGGTATCCACTTTGACTTCTGTAGGAAGAGTGATATATCTATCAACCTAGGATCGGAATTTATTTCATGTGTTTTTGGGGTGGGTACACACAATTATGTAAAATTAACTAGTTACTTCTCTAGAGGTTCTTTGTTGAGCAATGGAATCAACAGTTTGTGAACAAGAATCTTACAGACACCTGCTGAAGCTGCTTCCATTAAGAGGTTTTGGTAGTTTATCAGCTGAAAATCTTGTTTGCGAAAAGTCATTCTCTTCAATCTGCACATTTGTATGTCGTCAACGAAGGATACCTGTTTTTCCTTCCCTCTTTTAAGTGAACAGTTAGATGCTGAGGTGAACCTGAATGGGAATTAAATAATCTTGCTGTTTTAATGCTTATCCCCAGTTTTTAATGTCTGATATTATTCTAGTTTCTGGTTTATCAAAAGATACTATTGTTCCAGTTCCGACGAGGGCTAGTTTCTGTTTGCATATTGTTTCTTTGTTCTTAGACCAGCTGACTCTATTCTGTGATGTATTTGTTTCTGCATGTCATTATTCATTTATAAAAAAGATCAATGGATGAAGGCCTTTTATTGTGAACGGAGGATTTTATGTGGCGACCGAGACTTAGAAACTTTTTAAAGCAGAATGACATCTGATTTGTTTTATTGCAAATGCAGAGATATTGATGAGAAGATGAGAGATGCTTTGCACAGCTTCATTGAAGAGCGAGGAATTAACGAAAGCCTCTTTCCATTTCTACAAGCTTGGCTCTATGTGAAGGACCATCGGAATCTTATGCGTTGGTTTAAAACAGTTGGTTCTCTCGTTAATGACAGAAAACAAGGAGCTTCTCATGCCTAATCTTTCATTTGATGGCTCTTTAAAGTGGTTTGTGTACCTTAGGAAAAAATGCTAGACTTCGAAAAATTATTAGAGTGTACTCAAGAGTCAGAGACTTAAATGGAAAGTATAAAAATTCAGGTTAAACGGAATGAATGTGCCTGCTAGGTCTCAGTGAATGTATAGTTTGCTTGTGAGTTGTAACAACTTACAATTGTCTTGATCGCGGAATATCATTGAGACATAAGGATCCTTCTAATGTTTTAAGAGAACAATGCCATATTTCCTTGTTTTCTATATCTGATCCAAGCTGTGCTTCCTACTTTTAATTCATGGATTTTGTTTATCTTTTTGGCTTATTCATAGGCCCAAGTACACCTCACTTTAGAGTTTGATCAATGACATGATACTGAGGTATCTGTTATTCTTGATTATTGTCATATCATTTATACATGGCAAGTGTGTGTTCGGTACGAAGGAAAATGTTTTTCATGGAACACAAGTGTGTTTTCTCTTTATTTTCTTTTGTTCGGTACGTAAGTGAAAAAGCATTAGAGCCCTCTACCTTGCGAAGGGCTCTACATGGATCAGTAAGGGCTTTGATTACTGCATTGGCTCCATGTCATTTCTACAATTGGGCCTATGAATAAGCCAACAATCACATCATACTGTAAACTTGTAAGCAATAGGGCTATTGACACTTATGCTCTTATTTTATGTTGGTTTTCAATTTATGCCCCTCGAAATAAAAAAATTGTATCGCGGGGTGTAAGTATATATTGTTGTATCATAATATCTCTTAACGTATGTCTCACACGATTTCAATTTCCAAAGAACTTATGCCCTTAGGTCTAGTACCCTACTAGACATAAGTTCAGTTGTTGAAGGGCAAAAAAAATTAAAATCAATCTATTTAAACGGAATTCGCGTCATTTCAACTATATTTTTGGGGAACTTGGGCCTATGCATAAGACAACAACCATCATACTCAATGTCCAGTTTTGTGTAACGGTATTACTATCCGGAGAGTCGAATAAATTTTTCATTGACTAAAGTTCCTTCAAACATTTTACAAGTCTCTTCATCAATTATGAAAAGTTGAAAGTTCTTTCTGTATAGTTTATAGTTATTCTATGTAGTTTTTAAATACATCAATTTTATTTTAAAAATTTGTAAAATTGATATTTGAACATATAAGAAAAAAAAAATAGGTGATCCAATCTTTATGTTTAGAATATGCCCTTCTTTTCAATTTCAGGTAGTAATGAGTGTTAGGTGTGAAGTCAACCAAATAATTTCTAAGTGGGAGAACAAAATTTTCAATACAACAAAGCAATGGGGAGCAATGGGCCATCAAATGTTCCATTCTTGAATTCCACCTTTTAATTCATTTTTCTTTTTCCTCCCCTAACCACCACCACCACAAAAAATATATATATATAAAAAAAATTAAAAATTTATTAGCATGATGTCAACCCAACATAGTGGTGTGATGAAAAAGAAGTTATTGCAAAAGGATAGGTGTTGTCATATGAATTGGTCAATTGTTGTGTCTCTCACAAGCTATACTAGTTCCTTAGTGGTGTATGATTAGATTTATCAAATGGGACCTCTCTATGTGATGTGGTTTTGACTAACTCTAACATTTTGTGTCATAAAATTAAAGAGATATTCAAGTGGCCTTTTTAGGTGTTTTGACTAACTCTGAACATTTTGTGTCATGAAATTAAAGAGATCAAGTGGCTTTTTTAGGTCGAAACATGAACAACAATCGTACACCCAATTGATTAAACTAAAAATAGTCAGCAGATTTAAAATATGTGTATGATTGTATGTAATCAATACATAATCTATGTATATTGATTAAAAAAGTGAACAATAAATCTGTTCGACTTTTTGGTCAGTGACTCAGGATTTGAGGGGATTTTTAACATGAAAGATAGTGTAATATGCATGTGTTTTACTTTGCATGTGTTTTAATCACAAACTAATTATAGTTGATTAGTTGTTCGACTAATTCATGTTCATGTTGCATAAGGTCTATTTAGGAGAAAAACTCTTTCATCAAAAATTTCTTTTATTCTCAAGATGTAAATGCGAGACATCTGATTAGGAATGGAGGGACTTTATTCATCTCATCACTTCCCTCGATGAAGCGTAAGGTTCATTGAAATCAAACTATTATAATGTGTAGCTTAACTTCCTTTGGCTTAGATATTTACTTTTATATTTTTAGGACCATTAGAGATATTGGACAGCTAATGAAGAAAAAATATTAAAGTGGGATTACTCTACCATTTTATAGTCATGAAATTATAGGAAAGTAGCTTTATAAGGTCAATAGTCAGGTATATAATTGTGGTGATACTTTTAACATGAAAAACTACAAAAATAAAAATAAAAGCCGAAATTAGGTATGAATTTCGTTGCTAATATGTCGTTAGATTATTTGTAGCTAATGTTTTACTTTTGATAATTTGTTGCTGAATAGAATTATCTATGAATTTTTTACTGTTCAGCTACAAAAAAAATTTGTCGCTAATTCCTATTTTGTTTTTAAGCAGGGTAATATCAAGTGAGAATAATCAAATGTTTTACTTTGCTTGTGGTAGTTTGATTTCTTTTTCTTTATATCTCTTTTGGGACCTAAATATGTATAGGGTGGCTGGACAAAGAAAACAAAAAAGAATACTTGAATTAGAGACAAGAACATTGAAATTGATATTTTGAAGATTGAAATATCTAAAATGAAATGTAAATTATATTAATTAGGCCAAATATGTGAAAATATCTTCGTTAATAAGTGATGACATGTGAGACTCGAGTTTAAAAGAGGACTTTTTTAATATTATTATGAGTCGAGAGTCTTTCAAAAATAACATTCTTATCTTTAAAAGGTACGAATAAAATTGATGTACATATCACTCTTTTCACAGTCCATTCATGAAATTACACATTATTATTAATTATTTTAATATATCATGTTAAAGTGTATGAACTGAATTTGACAAATTCAATTTTGTAGTGGTTTGATTATTCAAGACCCTTCCACCACTTTCTAAGTTTCTATTATGGGCACAGAATTTGACAAAATTTCAATTCTATAGTCTTATGATGATTCAAAATTCTACCCTTTTTTTTAATCTCTGGAAAAGTCTGTCGTTCTTTGAATGCGTATTAGGTGAGTCTGCTTATATGTAATAGCTTACAAACCACATAAAAAATGTAAATCGCACTATACAAGCTCGATGCGATGAGGTTTGACTAAGAAGTCATATATTAACATGAAAAATCAATCCCATGACTTCCCTAATGAAATATCACTTGTTATACCAACTCAATCATTTGAGTCAAAATTCCACCTTATATTATTAACTAAATCGAATTAATTGTACCGTTGTCTCCAAAACTTTTTTTAATAATAGTATATTACCTAGGTCATCACCAAAAAGTATGGTCTACATTTTGATTTTAAAAAAAAATATAATACAAGAATGATGTAAAATTTGGCATGAAATATGTCATAATTTGTTATTTGAAATTGTCAGGAAAAATTAAAACACAATGATAGATTCTATTAATCTTCTCTTAATTTGGATGTGTTGAGAAGCAAACAAAATAATCCATATTTTGTTTGTTCTTCTTTGACTTTAGACAAAATTATTTTGTAACACATAATATGCATTGTCCCCCCCCCCCCACCCCCCACCACCCCCCTCT